TTTAAGTTATCCAGGCACGCTGCTGGTTTTGAGCATCTCCATTTGGATGGCTTGTGTGACCAATGTTGAGGAGCATGGCTGTGGAGCGGCCGTGCTGGGGCTGTGCTGCAGTTGTGGGGGGCAGTGGGGTATTTGTGTATGAGCAAGGGGGTTGGTCGTATGGCAGGCAGCAGAGTAAACTGCAGCAAATGAGTGCCTCATAAAGATAATTTCTTCTGTGTTGGAGTCGCTTGCAAGCACCTTCCCATTTTCTCAGGTTGCCTTCTTGTTCAAATATATTCACTGAACCATTCCCATGCATGAGCCGGAGCTGCAGCTCTCCTGCAAGCAGTTCATTATAACGAAGCGCTATGCAAAATGCAGTCAGAGCTGCTTAGTTTAGTTTTGACTTCCAGGCTGACCGAAGTGGTTTCCTGTCCCCTGCTGCTGGAGCAAGCCGCAAAGGGCGGGGAGTTAACAGGAGACAGCCCCTTGCCTTCAGCAGGCTTTGATTTTGGCTCTGGAGTCGTCTGCTGGACACCTCCGCACCCTGAGAGCGCAGCAGTGGGGCTCCCCACTGCGAGTGCTGGGGAGGTTTCTGCGCTCGGTCTGGTGTGCCAAGGAGGTTTGTGCCTCAGCGTACACATGCCTGAACCAGCTGAACCCACCTGCTCGGAGGTTCGCAATGTGGCAGCGCATCGCCCTTGGCCATTGGTTTCTGTTTCGGTGTCGGAGGTGCTGCCCGTCCCTGCCAGGGCATGTGAATGCTCCCTATAACCTGGCAGAGGCGAAGCTGGGGACGACGACTTGGCCTCCCGCCGAGTCACCCAAGGGGGACAGGGCGAGATCCCACCCATCTTCAGGATGAGGATGGGGGCAGCGTCCCTGCTGCAGGCAGAGCAGGCTCACCACTTGCTTACGGGGACATCCCGTCAGAAGAGCTGGGGTCAGCTAATGGCGTGTCGCTCACGACATGGGGGTGGCTTGCAAGAGCTTGGGGAGTGTCCAGGGACCCAAGCCTTGCTAAGAGAGTCCCACCGTGCTCTGCAGAGCCGCAAGAGCAGCCAGCAGACAGGCTGGAAACCCCCCTCGCTCCCCCCCCGCCCCACTGCCTGCTCCTGGCAGGGGAGGTCGAGGGCTCGGCTCCCCCAGGGCTGGATCAGGGAGGGGGGGCTTCCCCCAAGTCTTCCATGCTGCTGTGGAAGGCTCTCTGGAGCAGGGAGGGAGAATGGGCAGAGGGAGCTTGAGCCTAGGCAGTGCCAACCCACCGCTCTGTAACCCTGGAGGGGTCTTCAAAGGGCAGCCCACAGTAGAAGCCTAATTTAGGTGCCCAGTATCACCCCTGGAGGGGTCCAAGTCCCCTTGCAGAGGGAGCTGAGGACACCTGTTCATTCTTCCTTAGCCTCATGGACAAGCGCAGCTCCAGGGACATGTAAACAAAGAGGGAGAAGACAAATGACGTTCAGCAGAGCTGGTGCCACCAAGGCACTGCCCCACACCAAACTCCCCATGCAGGTGGTTGAGCGGAGCCACAAAAACCCTCAGTAAGGAGCAGCATGCCTATGGAGGGGTCTAGGTTTTAGAGTGATGGTGAATCTCTTTAGGCCTTCTGTTTCCCACATTATTCCTAAAATCTTCCCAGATTTTGTCCCTGAGCCTGGCTGGCTTTGAGAAGGCAGAGCAAAGTGGGGCTGGGCCATGCTGGGGCATCCCAGTGGATCCCAAGGAGGAGGTTTGTGCTGGAACCCTGCGAAACTGGCTCCTCAGAGCCATAGTGCGACCTTTCAGGAGGGGATGCTTCCCACTAGCCACCACAGGGGTGTTGGGAAGGGGTGCAGGGGTGAGGTGCCGAATGCGCTTTGGGGGTTGGCTCCAGCCAAAGTCTTCCATCGGCACCATCTGGATGCGGGGTAGACATCGGGCTGTGCCGAGGCATTCCTGGGGCATTGGGTGCACCCTGTCAGAGGTTTGTCCTGTGGTAACTGGGTCTGCTCAATAAACACCTCGTGGCTTCTCTGATCGACAAGCCTTTGGGTTTCCGGTGTGCACGAGCACAAGGTGAACTTTCGGTGGATATTTTCTGCTACGGGCGGTTCTGCAAGCATGTGCGTGAGTCACTTCACCCACCCCTGACACCAGAGGAACCACTCGCATGAGTCCAGTCTCTCATGTGTGCATGAGTGCTCGCAGGATGCAGCCGTCCCTCTGTGCTCCCGGGTCACTGGTGCTGCCCCATCCACCGCAGGGATCCCAGCAGCTGACCTCAGCCAAAGCTCAGCCCTCCCAGTGCAGGGTTGGAGCAAACAGCACTGGAAATTGAGCTCTCCAACTCCAGGATTAGGACATAATTTTTAAATAGCTCTTTGATATCTTTGCTGGTTTATTTGTTTAATAAAAGCACTTACTTAGCCGGAGTCCCAGGCTCCTGGGGCTTTCATTTCTCTGCAGAGGAGATAAGAAAAGCACATTTCCTTATCCAGTGAGTCATTTTTTCTGCTCTTTAATTATGCATTTGTGCTATTATCAAGTGTATTCAGCTCTTAGATGCAAACAGTTCAAGCTACCCAACAAGCTTTAACTTTTGCTGTTCCAAAACCAATCAACAGCCGTTATAAAGGGCAGGGGAGGCAAAGATGGGGAAGATGAAGAGGGGGATGGATGATGCCTGGAGCCGACCGGGCAGCCTGGGCCACGCTGATGAGCAGGCACACGTGTGAGTGCCGCTGGGGAAGTCAGCGGTGATTTTCTCCATGAGTAAGCGTTATCATGTGTGAATTCAGACTTCATTTTCTTGGCCCAGGAGGAAGCAGATGGACTGGGAAGGGAGCATGAAAGTGCTGTAGAGGGGGATAAAGAGGACCTAGAAAGTGGGAGGGAATGGGGTAAGGTCAATCGCAGTGATGAAGCTGCAACATCCTTCCACATGATAGGACCCGGGAGCACTTTATTCACAGGAGGACATCACGGCTGCTGTCCCTGGGCTCCCTGCCATGCATTCGCAGCTTCAAGTTTTCACTCCAGGTACCGAACAAAGTGGGAGCCATCAGCTCCTGAGCTCTATTGTAAATCTCACCCCCCACATCAAAAGCAACATGTAAGTACCTCGGTTTGGGCTTTCTGTGGTGCATATATTTGACTGGAGGTGGTCACAGAGTGAATCTGTAAAGTGTGGTACAGCAGATGCCAGGACCCATTTCCCCCCTCCTACATTAAGCCAAGCAGGGAGGGGAGAGGGGAGGGAGAGGGACAGGGTGACAGTGCTACAGCGGGACCCACGGCAATAGGGCCTGGGGGTTGCCAAGAGGTGGCTGACGTGGGGGAAGCACAGTGGGGGGATTTCGGGGGGGGAGGGCGAGAGGGGGATGACGGAGGAGCATCCCCCTTTGGGAAAAGGAGACCAGCAGGTGGAAACACCCTGGGGCAAGAGGAACAGCAAAGCCTTTGGAGCAGGGAGCTGTTTCAGGGGAAGGTGTCCTAACAGAGCACTGCCTGTTTTGTGGGGGTCCTCTGCCACCGTCCACAGCTCCAGTCCCACCAGGGCACAAGCCAAGATGTTTTCTGCTCCCTAGTCCCTACCCTTACGCTTCTGTGAGCTGGCTGCCAGGGACAGCAAGCACTCCAGGTGCCCTCTCCTCCCTGAGGCTCTCCACTGTGGAGCTCAGATGTGGCCTGGAGCGAGGCTGAGCTTTTCTCCTGACCCCTCAGCCCTCCCTGCTGTGGCTTTCTGACACCCCCCCAGGATGCTCCTGGTGCACCCTGCCACTGACCGCATGCCCCTCCTGCTCCCATGCTTGCACCACAGCCCCGATCCTTGCCCGTGGCACATGAAAGGCAGGGAGCTGGGTGAGGTGGGATATGGAGAGACGTCCTCCCCCGGCAGGTACCGGCGCAGGGGCAAGCGCAGCCCGTTCAGCGCGAGCATCGAGGCAGAGGGTGCCGAGCTAGCTGTGCTGCTCCTGGCTTCAGAGCTCAGGGCTGTGCTGAGAGAGGGAAGTGCTTGGCGTGTCCCTGCTCGGTTGGGGAGTTTTACTTTGACTAACACGGAGGGGGAATAACTGAGTCACAGGCGCAGGGATGGCAGTTGGGCTCTCACAGCTCCTCCTCGGAGCCCGCAGCCCCCCGGGCTTGGCATGGCCATCGGCGCTGGCACAGTGCAGCTGGGCAGAGCGCTCCCTGGCAGCCAGGCGCATGTGCACGTGTGTGAGGGGCAAGGGAGCAAGCGGCTGGGCACGCCGGCTGGAGAGGGAAGTGAAATCGCATCAGGCGTGGAACCGGCGGACAGCGACCGGTTTTGGTCGGGACTTTCACTTGCCCAGAGTCCCGTGGCACCCGGCGGGGAGAGCTGAGACGGTGCTGAGGCCGCTTTGGTGCTGCCCTGGTGCAAGCCACCCTCTGGGGATGCTGCTGGTAGGACAGAAGTGCAGCTGGAGTGACATGTACCAGTGGCAGGACGTTTCTCCTGCTCCTGATCAGGAACACCTAGGGCCATTAAGGGTTTATTTAGTCCCTTCCAAGGGTATGGGGACCAGATTTGCTTGGTGTGACCTGCTTTACCCATGCCCTGGGCAGTTACCGAGCAGAGCCAGCTCTGAACCCTGGAGAATGAGACATGGTGCTAAGGGGCTGGGAGGCTCCTTGCCACAGGTCTAGGTCTGGGATGGGGGAGTTAGAGAGAGCAAGATGGTGGCGAGCACCGTCATTAGGAGAGGTGGAGAACACATAACAGTTGGCCTGCGTGCGCAGCAGTCACTTACAGGCCGTGTCCTGCGGGCAGTGGGAGCTTTTCAAAGGGGAAACCTCAGCACCCTTGCACTCTTTTCTCCTCCAGTCCTTTTCTGGATTTTCCATCCAAGCCGAATCTGTGGCCCTGGGATGGGGTCTTGTAAAGATCTGGGCACAGGAAAGCCTGCTGTAGGCACTGGAGGATGCTGAGGGGGCTTTTCGCCAGCCAACAAGGAAGGGTGTGTGTTGGGGACATGCCCGGGTTGGGGGCGGTGGGCTGGGGAAGGGGAAAGGCTGAGGAGGTGACACCATCGGGCTGGGGGCCATGCCGCCGGGCACAAGGTGCTGTGCGGCTGGGGCACGCCAGGGGCTGCGGGGATTTCGGAAGCATATTTTGGAGCAGAGGGGTAGTTTGAGGGTGCGTTGCGCGTGCAGGCAGGGGTAGGGCTTGGGCATTTGCTCTCCTCCTCCCCAGTGAAGATCCGCCCCAGGACAAGCACAGCGATCGCGAGCCCCAAGGGAGACGACGCAGCTTGACAGACTGTATCTCCCTCTGCCACGGGCCCCAAGGCGCTGCGATTTCACACTTGGGCAGCCCCTTCGCCGCCGCACCATGCGGGAGCGGGGCTCTCACTCCCAATCTGCCATGTCCTCATCAGGAAAAGCCACCGGTGCTTCCTCCTGCCTCTCCTCCCAGTGCTTCGACCTCCTGACCAGGTCCTGTGTCAAGTGCTCCGACTTGTTCAGGGACAACACAAGTAAGGGGACGAGGGCGGCTGGGGACCGAGCTCCCTGGGGCTGGGCAGTGGTGGGCCAAGGGGGCTGGGGGCACCCCAGGCATGGGCAGGCGGAGGGGACCTTCTCCTGCAGATGGCAGTGGAGGTGGCAATGGAGGATGGAGCGCTGGCTTCACCTGGAGGAAGAGGAGAGAAGAAGAGGGCAGCCAGTTCCAGCAAGGGGAATACAGTGCAGGGAGAAGAGGGATGATCCAGCCGGGCGGGGGGGGGGTCACAGCCTGGCCCAGGGGTCACCATGGGAAGAGCAGGACGGCTTCATCTCCCGCCAGCCAGCGACGACAGCAGGTGGGACGAAGGTCCCGTCAGGCAGGGGGACGGTTTGTTGTGGGTGGTGGGTGGGTAGCGGTGAAGAGCCACTCTCCTTCCCCGCCGCCACGGCCCCGAGGCCAGGCAGCCGGGTGGGTAACGCTGCCGCGCTCCTTCCCTCACCAGCTCTCCCCCTCCTGACGCTGCCGGCATCTCGCCCCACAGCAGAGCCCGGCCACGCAGCGCCCACCTCTGCCCTGGCACCCACCATCCCCTCGGCAGACCTGCCCAGCACCCTCCTGATCTTTGGGGTCCCAGCAGCGGTGGGGCTCATCCTGGTCCTGGCCGCCCTCTGGGGCTTCCTGGCCTGCAAGGTGGGGAAGCAGAGGAGGAAGAGGAAGGCAGCGGACGAGGAGGCCGAAGGTAGGGGACCTCTTGCTCTCCCTGTCACAGCATCCTGAGGACCCCCCGGCAGTTGGGGTCACTTGCTGCCGGCTCCCCTGAGGCGCATCCCTGTTGAGGCCGGCTCCTCCACCTCAACATGGGCTCCATGGGCACCCCGGGGCATTTTGGGGCAGCCGAGCCACCTCCTGAGTGACGGTGTCCTGCATGCAGGTGGGAGCCCACACCTGCACCTGACTGCCAGCGTGACATTGCTGAACCATCCCTCCCTTTGCCGGGTCTACCTGTGCCCTCGCTTGCTTAAAGCACCTGCTGGCACCGTCCCTCTCCATGGGGGAACATGTACAGAGCGGTGGTGAGGAGCGTCTCCCTCTCCCCGGTAGCTGGAGGGCCGTGGATGGAGCGGGGGGATGCAGGGGCAGCGGTGGACATCCGGGGATGGCTACGGAGGGAGCCTCTCCCCACAGCGCTGCGAATGGGGGTCCCGTGCTGACTGCCCAGCTTGTCATTCCCACTTGGAATGCCCGGTGCCCTCCAACGTGTGCCCCAAAGACCCCAACAGTGTCAGGGCCAGCCCCACTGGGAGGACACCGGAGCACTGCACAGGATCATCCCCAAAGGCATCAAAAATAGGGCTGGGGGGCGAGGGATGGGGCTGAGCCTTTCCTGGTAGAGTATTTCCAGGGGAGTGAGGCCAAGGTGCCCCACGATGGCTCATCCTGTTGGAGCATCCAGGCAGCTGTCTCCTCCCCCAGGGACCTGCACCCCAGCGCTGACTCAACCATGGCCACTCTTCTCGGAAACGGTCTCACCCTGGCTTCATGCCTTCCCATCCCCAGGAAGGGGATATGGCTCCCCGGGACCCCCATGAGGGGCTGTCCTGGGGCATGCTGGCACCCACAACTGCCCCACTGCCTGGGTGGGTACCTTTGGCGGGCAGCGGGACTGGGGGCAGCCAGTCCTCGTGCCCTGGCTTGCTTGCACGCTGCCGGTGGTGCCGGCTGGGTGACTCAGACTGGTGGGGGACGTTACCTGGGGCCTTTCCGCTAAACCGAGTGTTGCTGAGACAGCCTGTGATGCGCACACACCTGGGAAAAATACCAAGAATGAAAGAGGAGGGAGAAATGCAGTGGCAAGAGAGGTCCGGCCATGATGGGAGAGCATCGGAGGCACCCCTCAGCTACTCCCCTGCCACAAGCCCTGGTCCCTGTCCCCCCGTTCCCCTGGGCTGCACCCCAGCAAGCCCACCGCTACAGCACTGGATGCGTGGAAAGTCATGGGAGGCTTGGGGCCAGCAGCATGCGCCTGTGTTCAAAGCATGTAAACAAGTCTATTTTTAAGTGGGAGGCGGTCAGGGAGGGTGAGCCGCCAAGGGCTGGGCTGATCTGCCACCAGCAGGGTTTAGCAAGAGGGCTCGAAGTGCAAGTGCAAATTTTTGCCTTTCCCTATTGTTTTTTAGGGGAGAAAAAGCCCATCAGTTGTAAGCAGGAGGAGCTCTGCAGCAGGAGAGGTGCATTGGGGACCTTGCAGGCTCCTCCTGCTCCAGCTCCATCTTGCCCCCTGTGTGTCCCGAGGGACTGGACCCTCTCCCTGGGACCTGCCTGGCCCCACTTTGTGAGTCCAGTAACCCCCTTTTCTTGCCTCCTCCCAGCAAACATGGATGCCACCAGCCCCCTGCCCAGCCTGGGCTGCCAGGACCCTGCCATGCCGGAGGGAGATGCCACTCTGGCCCCAGCCCGAGCTCTGTGCCCACATCTCAATGGAGGCCTGAAGATGCCGGGGCTGCCCGGGAAAGCAGGGGCGAAACGGAGGCCATGCTGCCAGGGTGATGCTGACGGTGACATCGTCCTGCTCTCTGCTGTGTACCCCCGGCACGAGGAGTGCAACCACGGCTTCCCACTGCCCGCCACCGAGCTGGGGGCTGCAGCCCTGGTCACCACCAAAACCACCCAGAACTCTCCCGGAGAGGAGAGAGCCTGAGAGCAGGAGGAACGGGGCTGGAGCGCTCCAGCTGCTTCCTGCAGACGCCCAGAGCCCATCCCCAGGGCAGGCAAAGCCTTGCACGGATATGAGCTGTCTGAGGACCAGGTTTTGCCTTGAGCAAGATCAGCCTTCTAAGATGACTGCCCTTTTCCACTTCCCCGGTTGTGCCGAGTCCTAAGTTATGCCTGTAAGCACTGGAGGAAGCCAAAGCTGATCACGCCGAGTTACGCTGAACTGCCCACAGCTGCCACGGCCATACCATTGGGAGGAGGCAGAGGAGACGTGGCTGGTGAGGACAGAGCGTGGCAGGGGCTGCTGTGCCATTTGCAAGGCTGCCTTTGTGCCAGTATGGGTCTGCTGCTGGATGGGTGATTCCTGAGGAACGTGGGGCTGGAATAGCAGAAAAAGGGGTGGGAAGGAAGATGGAGAGGGAGGCAGGGAGTTACATTAGGACCAAATTCCACACCACTGCCATTAACTTGATTTTTGCTACTGACCTCAGTAAAAGGAGGCTTGGGGTCACATGGAGCAAGGCACATCCAGCAGCATCTGCTCCATTCAGTCCTGCCTGCCCCCATCTTCTGCATGCCATAATATCCAGATCTCTCCTCCCTCTGGGCACTCTCATGTAGTGGCAAGCACCCACTGGCGCTCATGGGAATCCCCTCTGCAGCCGGCTACTGCAGGGATGAGAAACAAGTCCGTCTTCCCAAGCAGGGAGTGAGGGAGGGAAGCGGGGGGGCGGGGAATCTGTCTTTGTCCTGACCTGTGATCACTGAAGTCAGGGAGGACCAGGGGCAGGCAACGGAGCCTGCTGGTCTAGAGGAGCTCCCTGAGCTTCTCATTATGGCCCCAGACAACCATCACTTCAGCTCACTGGGGCTGCAGAAATACCACGTGTCACTTGGGATGGATGTTTCCACGCCACGCAAAACCAGGCAGGGAGTCATGTGAGCGTAGTTGCGATGACTTAATTTACGTGAGTGTCTTCAAGGCTTTGCCTGTGTGCAAGAGCTGGCCAGCATTGCTGGTCCAGGGCACTTCTCTGTAGATGGTCTTGTTCACCTGCCCACAAGTGGATTTACTGCACAGGAAGGGCTCTGCTTTGGAAATGAACTCTTTAGTGTGGGATTGCTGTTCCCAAGTAATTACAGCAGCTGAACCCCCTGGCTGAACAGAGCCAGGCCGATGCTTTAGGTGAGAAACCCTGCTGGCCCTGGAGGGGGTGATTAGGCAATTAGAAATGCTTTGTGGGGTTATTTGCATGAAGCACCATCTCTGTGGCAGCCTGGGTCTGCTCTTCCTTTGGTGAGGCAGCTTCCTCACCTGAGAAACTTCAGGGACCAAGCAGAGGTGGCCAAGCAAGGTGCAGGAGCACTGCTGCCAAGTGCCAATGGGCCACCAAGGGCCACAGCTCACAGTAGGATCGCCCGGTGGCACTGTGCGGAGGGGATGTCCCTCTGATGACGGGAAGGTGACTCCCTGCCCAAGCCTGAGCTCTCTTCTGAGGCTGCAGGACCAGACACTGCTGTTGAAGGGTGACCCTCCCTCTTCTCCCCTCCCCACGCCACTGGAGGTGGACTCGCGGCATCCGTCCCATAAAGGGAACCACAGGCACTGCCATGGGTGCCAAGACCCAAATTCCTCACTAAGACTCCTCTCCCAGACCTAAACACGCTGATGGAGGTGAGCCTTCATCCGGCTGACGCTCTGCATGACCCAGAACAGGATGGGTCCCCTTCTCAGCCTCGGGGCTGAGGATGGTGAGGGGCCACGTGCCCAGCAACTGTGTCCTGGGGCTCCAGGCACCTGTGGCTTGCTGGCAGGAGCTGTGGAGGATCCAGCGCTGGGCTCCCAGTTATCTGCAGCAGGTGTGCTGCCTGTCACAGGAGGGGTATCCCCATGGCACAAATCGGGCATCTCCTCATCCCCATGCTCCGCACCCAGCCCTGTGAAGTGACTTTGAGCAACCTTTGTGCATCTGGAGTGGGGAAATGAGCTGAAGCCAGGCCGGGGGACATTTTGGAGCTGGAAGGACTGCTTGTGGGAGACAGAGCAACCTGCTTCATGGGAAATGGGGGTGAGAGGGAAATGGAGCCGGACCATCAGGAGCATCTCCCACTTCCCGCCTGGTGACTGCTGCAGCTCAGCCCTGCAGATATGCTGTCCACCCTGACCGGTGTGGCAATTTGAAAAAGAAACTCCCATACAAATCCTGTTGAAAAAGCCCCTCTTTCTGCTCAGGTAAGGGCTTTTGCTCTCATTTATGCTAGAGCTTCAGCCAGGCATCTCCTCTACGGGACGCTGCCAGCATCTGCAGTTTGCAGAAGCAGCATTTTGATCCACATTGGATTCCTCAGCCAGCGAGTACCCCTCAGATCCCCTCTCTGTTATGGCACATGGGGCATCTTCCCCACATCCTGCCTGCCCAACTGCCAGCCGTGGCGGGGCAAGGCTCCCCTCCTGCCTGGCCTGCCTGTCTGCCCGGACCTAGGAGGGATTTGCAAGCCCCTCTGTTCATGCTTCTCCATCCTTATGTGCAGGTCAGGGGGCTGTCTGTCTCGTCTCCATGGATTGCAGAGGGAATGGAGATCAAAAATATGGCCGTAAAAATTAAAGAATAAAGTGAACCTGCTGCCAATGCACACTCAGAGGTCTGTATGGGGAGGTGGCTTCTCAATCCCCATTCCCTTGGCTTCAGAGGTCTCCAGCGCAGCAGTCCTGGGGGTACAGCAGGACCTTGATCTGGAGAGGCTCCCTCTGCACTGGCTTCACCAGCACATCCCCTGTGCACAGCCACATGCGTGGCTGGGGACTGGCTGAGCTTGGCCACCTCCATCCGCCCCGCAGCCACCCCGGGAGCTGGCTGACAGGACAAGGAGTGGGGCAAGTGGTTTGGGGGGGGGATGTTGCCCATCTTTGACTTTCCACAGCAGTTTCTCACTTCCCCTTGCAAGGCAGGAGCTGTGCTTCCTCCCCAGCCCCGTGCCCGCACAACTGCCTAGAAAGGTGGTGAGGCCGGACTTAACCTCGCCACAGGGACACAGGGTTTTGGAGAGAGCCAGGGGAAAGTCCGAGGAAACCCCGGTGCAGGAGGAAGGAGCCAGGGCTCCTCCTTGCTGCAAAACCATCTCAGGCATATCTCCAGCCATTTCAACACCACTGACCCTTCTATGATGGAGGTCATTGTGGTATTTGAGCTCCTGCAAGTCCCACCAACGATGCTGGTGGTAAAGGACGGAAACCTTTGTGTCCCTAGGGATGGGGGGTGGTTTTCAACCCTGGTCCTAAAGGCAGGAGCCAGCTGGCCAACAAAGTGTGTTGGCACAGGGAGGGAAGGCACCGGGGGGCACCCTGGCTGAAGGTCTTCTGCAGCCACCAGTCACATCTGCGAAACCCTCCTCAATCCCACAGGCTCCCCAGCCTCCAAAGTGCTCGGCTTCTTCCATCAGCCTCCCCATTTGGGCCTTTCTCCCCTCCCTTTCTTCTCTCTCCCCCCATTGCTGGTTCACCCACCAGTTTGGTCTCCTGATAGTTCCCCCACAGGCCCAGCTACTCCAGCCCAAAGCACCTCCACAGACCTGTCTTGCCCTTCCATGGGCTTTCTGTGGGTGCTGGACCTCAACAGCAGGCAGGGCAAGGTGGGCACCATTTTATCCCATGCACGAAGCAACACTCCAATGGCCAATGTCCAACAGGGACCACTGGTCCCTGGGTACAGCCCCCAATCCCCCTCACTTGCTGCAAGACGACCAGGGCTGCGTGGCCACCCCATCACCCGCCCGTGGGGCACAGACCTCATCCCACCCCACAGGAGGCTTCCCTACCACCCGCTTCCCAGTGCCAGCCATGGCAGAGGGAGGCCGTGGGTGCCCCTGCAATCGCCGGGGGACACCTGTGGGAGGCCGTGGGTGACGATGAGAGGCCCAGGGCGCCTGCCACGAGGTGGCACTGACACCACACGCCGGCCTGCATGGCTGCAGTGCTGCAGGGGAGCTGCATGGGAGGGTGAATGCACAAATGCAGCGAGGGGAGCTGGGGAGGGCCAGGCAGGCTAGTGGCCAGCCCCGCTTTGGCCAGAGAGAAGGGTGATGGCTGGGCCTGACTCTGTCTGGCCATGCACCCCATCACCATGGCCTCTGGGTTGCCTGGGAGAAATGGCTGCTGGTGGATCTGGCTGTGGTGACCATTGCCGCGGCCTCTGGGCTGCCCTGGAGAAATGGTTATTGGTGGCTGGACGTCTGTGGGCAGAGCAAGCACGGAGTGGTGGGACAACCAGAGGCACAGTAGGATGCAGCAAGCTGCTGCTTCTTCCCCCAGCAGCAGTGAGCACGTCTACCATTGCCCCACTGCCCAGAGCAGCCCATCCCCAGTGGTGTCAGGCCTCTGTGGGGACTCCCTGGGACCTGGTCCCACCAGCCAGCACCTCCCTTCCCCATCCCCTCCCCATCAGCCTCTACCAAAGAAGAAACTGCCTTGGTACCTGCCAAGCTCCCCAGCTGGAAAAAGCCCCAGGCTGGGGAGAAGATGTTGCCCAGCCCCCCCGTCCCAGCCCCGCGTGAGGCTGTTGGGGACCACGGCCTTCCTGATGCCGCTCATCAACATCCCTCCCTAATTGCTACCCACTGCCTAATGACAGTAATTAGGAAGAGCGAAGCTGCCTGGGGACTGGAAGCGCTGACAGAGCTGGGGGAGCCAGATGGTGTTCGCACTTAAGGAAAGATTAAAAAAAAAAAAAAAAAGAAAAAAAATAGCACCCAGCTTCGATCAGCCTCCCTTTCCTTCACTTAGTGTCAGGATCACTTTGGTCCACGGGCATGCCGGGGAGATGCTGAGACGTGGCACTGGCTGCCCTCCCCCGCCCCCTGCCATCTCCAGGTGTTTTAGGGTGCCGGGGGAGTGGTGGGAGGGGCGCGGTGCCCGCCCAGGTGCCCGACGCAGAGGGGGTTTCCTCGCTGCCTTCATGGGCTGATGCTCTCCCCCGGGGCCACCCCCACTGCTCCCCGCTTTGCTGGCCGTGCTCAGCGAGCGGTTTCCCAGGGGGGCAAGAGCGGGGGGGACAGCCAAAAACCACCTGAGGGGCTGCGGTGAGCGGGCAGCAGCTCCCCTGGCAGAAGGGGCTGGCCAAGGGACAGCCCCACATTTTCCCCGGCACCACGAAGCAAGGCCACCGCCCTGGGGTTTGCAGGGGAGCACCCAAAACCCGACCTCGGGGACCAAAGCGGTTGGACAGGTATGGTGATGCTCTCAGCTTCACCTCCCTGGAGAAACTCCACCTGCAGCCAAACCCCTCCAAACCCTTTCCCCAGCCCCTTCCCCGAGCCCCACGGCGATGGCACCTGCCTCCAGAGCCACCTGCAACGCTGTGGGTGCAGCCGGGGCTGGGAGGGGAGATGCGAGGGGGGTCTGAGGGAAACCCCCATCCTGCCCCCGGGCTGCTGCCCCCAGTGGTCTTGGGGTGCCCGGGCCTTTGACCCCCCCATCGCACCCCAGGGATGCAGGGACAGGAGCATGCTGGGCAGGGATGAT